ACTTTTACTTGAAAAAAATTTCAATAAAATGAACTCACTGAGAACTCTCAATCACCAAGATGGTTTGAATAACATAAGCTTAAATTCACATATTGTACACTTGCTCTAACTTTTTAAAAGAAGTTCCTGTTGAAACAAGATATTTGCAAATGACATATCTGATAAAGAGTTAGTTTTGAAAATATAGAGAGAATAGATACAACACTCAAAAATAATCCAATTAAAAATGGGCAGAATACATGAACAGACATTCCTCCAAAGACGACATACAGCTAGCCAACAGACACACATGAAACGATGCCCAACATCACTTATAAGGGAAATGCAAACCAAAATCACGATGAAATATTACCTCACATGTGTCAGAATGGCTAAAATCAAAACATAAGAAACAAGTGTTGGCAAAGATTTGGAGGAAAAAGAATCCTCTTGCACTGTTGGTGGGAATGCAAACTAGTACCACCACTATGGAAAACAGTATGGTGTGCAGCCCCAGTGGCTCAGCGGTTTAGCACTACCTTTGGCCTGGGGTGTGATCCTGGGGACCCAGGATCGAGTCCCACATCAGGCTTCCTGCAGGGGGCCTGCTTCTCCCTCTGCCTGTGTCTCTGCCTCTCTCTCTCTCTCTCTCTCTCTCTCTCTCTCTGTGTGTGTGTGTCTGTCATGAATAAATAAATAAAATCTTTAAAAAAAAAAAAAGAAAACAGTATGGAGGTTCCTCGATGTAAGTGATGAATTGCTGAATTCTCCAGGAATCAATATCACATTGTATGTTAACTAACAAAATCTAAACTAAAAAAAAAAAAAATTAAAATAGAACTACCCTAAGATCCAGTAATCACATTGCTGGATATTTACCCAAATAATACACTAATTTGAAAGTCTATACGCATCCCTATGTTTACTATAGCATTACTTACAAAAGGAAAATTATGGAAGCAACCTGAGTGTCCATTGATAGATGGATGTATAGACAGGTAGATAGATGTATATAGATATATACACACATACATACAATGGAGCATTATTCAGCCATAAAGAATGAAATCTTGCCATTTGCAATGACATGGGTAGAGCTAGAAAGTATGATGCTAAGTGAAATAACTCAGAGAAAGACAAATGCCATATGATTTCACCCATATGTGGAATTTAAGAAACAAAACAAACAAGCAAAGGGGGAAAAAAGAGACAAACCAAGAAACAGACTCTTAACTGTAGAGAACAAACTGATGTTACCAGAGGGGAGGTTGGGGGGAGCGGATATGTGAAATAAATGATACGGATTAAAGAGTACACTTGTTGATACCACCTCACAAGTGTACTATCAGAATAGCTAAAATTAACAGCACAGGAAACAACAGATGTTGGCAAGGATGTTGAGAAAGAGGAACCCTCTAACCCTGCTGGTGAGAATGCAAACTGGTGCAACCACTCTGGAAAATAGTGTGGAATCTCCTCAAAAAGTTACAAATACAACCACCCTATGACCCAGCAATTGCACTACTAGTTATTTACCCAAAGGATACAAGACTACAGATTTGAAGGAGTATATGCACACCCAGTATTTACAGCAGCATTATCAACAATAGTCAAACTACAGAAAAAGCCCAAATGTTCACTGACTGATGAATGGATAAAGATGCGGTATTTATGTGTGTGTGAGTGCCATCAAAACAAATGAAACCTTGCCATTTGCAATAATGAGGATGGAGGTAGAGAGAATTATGCTAAGTGAAATAAGTCAGTCAGAGAAAGACAAATACCATATGATTCTACTCATATGTGCAATTTAAGAAACAAAATCGATGGACATAGGAAAGGAGAAAAAAAAGAAAAGCAAATCATAAGGAACTTAATGATAGCAAACAGGTTGTTGGGGGGAGGTTGTAGGGGATGGGCTAAGTGAGTGATGAGTATTAAGGAGGACACTTATTGTGATGAGCACTGAGTGTTGTATAGAAGTATCACTAAATTCTACTCCCAAAACCAATATTATACTATATGTTAACTAACTAGAATTTAAATAAAAGTTTGAGAAAAATACATTTTATAGAGAAAATAACCACACTTACCATGATTCTGGAGTAATATATAGAATTGTTGAATCACTATATTGCACACCTGAAACTAATAAGCACTATGCTATTTATACTGGAATTAGAATAAAAAAAAACTTAAAAAATAAGTTCCTGTTCAGCATATAGTTAAACATAATCATCAGCTGAGGCCTAATAATGCACAAAGAAGCTGTTCCAGGCTAGGACAGACATACCTGATTTAGATTTAAATTCTTTGTGAGGCTTGTTTCCAACATCAACTTATCTTAACCAGAATTCATTCTATCTTTCAAGGAACTATAGAAGATGCTTCTACCTAAATCCCTACACCCAAAGAATCAACTTATCACACCATGTATTTATGGCATATTGATAGTGCCATACAATTGTGACTTATCTTTCAAAAGCTTATTTCTTTAAAATATGGTTTATCTCCATAGAGACTTCCAAAGTCATTAAAGCATTCCTCAACAGTCAGGACAGAATTAAGCTACAAAATATCTAGGACTGTGTGTACTTCACAGAAAATACTATTCTATTTCTGGCTAGGCACCTCTGCCACAATGAAAATTGGGCTGAGCAAAGCATTTGGGCCACAAGCAGAGGTCTATTAGCTTGTTTGTTGAGTGGGAAGGAAAGTTTCTCTAGTGGGTGTCATCTTCAAATTCACCAGATTCAAATGCTCATTTGCAAACATTTGGAATTTGGAATCTAAAGTCTCTCTCCCTATAGTACTGCCTTTTGACTAAGAGTAAAATCAATCACTGGAAAGAGTACCTACATAATAGAGCAGCACTCTATGCAATGCTTCAATCCTTCAATAGCTCCCTGCTGGAGATGTGGGAATCCAAAGATGCCCAATTAGTGCCCTTTTCCCTGAGTTCTGAACCAGTTGAAAAATAAGGGATGTATAAGGCAAACAGGAGTCCAAAATACTATCCCTGTCATTGGTGAAGGCAGAATTGGAAGATACAGCTTAATGTGAGAACTGACCAGGCCTGAAAACCCTCTGCACTCCAAACTTAGCCTAGAAAGACTACCCATAGGAAAGTTTGAGTCTGTAGAGCAAAATATTTGCGCAAGTCACCATTTTCTCTCTTCCAGTGTGGAGAAAGAGGAGTTTTAAAAAAAAAAAAATTCCTTTCATTTAGGCCTATTGATAGGTTCACTTGGGCAATTGATAAATTTGAATCAATGCAGTTTCCTGTCAGCCAGAAAATTAAATCAACCATGACTAGAAAGAGCAAAGAGTTGAGTAAAAGACATGGCATGTTTAGGGAAACTCCTCCACAGAGAGACCAGGAAAGTAAAATAGTACCTTACATAGTTCACAGTAATCAATACACTCTGGGTTTATATCTTGCAAGCTGGATCCCTTGATTCTACAATACTACCTACACAGGCTTTACTAGAGAAACTTAGAAAGGTCAAAAAGAGAGAGAGAGAGAGAGAGAGAAGACCCCAGTCTCTCATCCTACCATCATCCCTCAGAAGAGTGAGCAAGAATCAGTATGTTCTGCTGCACATGCAGAATGCATTCATGTTCCAGGGGAAGGATTCACACACCCCACCCCACCATCTGTTTTTTTGGGGGAGGAAATATAGTTAACAATGTTCCATTAATTTCAGATGCTACTTATCTCCCTTCTAGGCCAAATATTAAAACAATCTTCTGAAGTACCATCTATTTAACAAGAGTTGCCTGATGAAAGTAGGCTGCCCACCCCTGGAGACCCTATCTTCAGGTATAGATCCTATTGACAAAAGGTAACCAATGGCCCATTACCTATTAAGTTTAGGTGTATCCCCTCCTGCTGGGTGATGGAAGAATCTGGCTCATTGTCCAAACTGCCCAAAGTGAATTCACAAGGTCATTAAGAATTCCGCTGTCTATTGAGGATACCTGGGTGGCTCAGAGGTTGAGCATCTGCCTTTGTTCAGGGTGTGATCCCAGGATCCTTGGATGAGTCCCTCATCAGGTGCCCTGCAGGGAGCCTGCTTCTCTCTCTGGCTGTGTCATTCATGAGTAAATAAATAAAATCCAAAAAAAAAAAAAATCCACTGGTTGTATCACAATTTCCCTTATTTAAGGAGTATATGTAAAAGATATAAAGTTATCAAGTTTTCCTCCAATAATTTCCAGATGTTTTGGAATAGAGGCAAGTTAATGTGAATGTTTAAAATATACTTGATGGAACAGCATTTAATAGGAAGAGTTACTCCTTTAACAATGACAGAACAGAAGGCGTTATCTTTCCTATCAGTAGAAACTGGTTTCTGAGGAGTTTTTTACAAGAAGTTTCTTCAGGTATGTAGAACAGTTCAAAAACAATGATTTGAAAGAGTCAACTCAGTTGTAACTGAATCAGTTGATAACTTACTGAGGAAAAATGAAATAGTATGAAAGTACTGAAAGGCAAGGAAAGTTGAAATGGGGAGATCTTGACCCTTTCATGACAATCTGATCCTTCAATGAAAAGATAAAAAGTTAGCACCTCTTCAAATAAATTAAGTTCTCATAGGTGGTCTAAAAGAGAGGTGTTACAAAAACAATACATAGATGCTAGAAATTTCCCATCACTGAATGGTGGACTCTCACTGACTAACAATGAATTCTCATTATTACTGTTCAGTGAAAATAGGTTTTAATAGCATAATAACCTCTTCAATTAATTCTGCAATCATTTATCGCAGCGTAACAGCTGTCAAAGCAGGTTAACAGTTTAGTAAAATGCAATACTCATTCATTCACTTTCACACAATAGTGAGCTGCTTACACTTATATAATCATAGTAACGCCATTCATACATCCTTCAGTGATATCCATTCAATTATGCAAACCAGAAAACCACAGAGCAGGGTGGCTCAGAAAGGCCAGTTCCACAGAGAGAAATTAAAAAGCAACTTTTGATATCACTCTACTACTCCTTGTTTTTAACTTACCCATTTTTTTTTCTTCTTTTCATCCTTTTATTGCCATCCATTTTCCTCCGCTTTGTTTTCTTCTCCCTCTTACCTATTCATTATTACCAGTCAAGGATTCCAGAAGCACTGCCTGTGTAACATGGTGGATTAGTTAAAAAAAAAAAAAAAAAAAAAAAAAAAAAGCTGATAGTGTCAACACTTCCATCATTGTAACAGGTAAGAAGGCATATTGAGGAGGGAATTCGTGGAACCTTCCCCCAACGGGGAGATATGGAAAAAAAGCCTCAGATGGGTGGCAGAAGACATTGGGTACAGTGATGGGACTCTCCACTTTTTAGCACAGCTAAAAAGAATGGGGGAAATTAGCAAAACTTAGCAGGCTATTTAGCAGCCCATTACTAATGCATAAAATAGCCCCAGCCCTAATGCAGGTCAAGCAAAATTTTTTTAGTGGTCTTCCCTTGCTTAAAGAAAACAAAAGGGCAGCCCCAGTGGCTCAGCGCTGCCTTCAGTCCGGGTGTGATCCTGGAGACCCGGGATCAAGTCCCACATCAGGCTCCCTGCATGGAGCCTGCTTCTCCCTCTGCCTGTGTCTCTGCCCCTCTCTCTGTGCCTCTTATGAATAAATAAATAAAATTTTTTTAAAAAAGAAAAAAGCTGAGGACCCAAAAGTTTTCTGTCGCTCTGGGGAGAGGGCAGTGCTTTGGAAGAACAATGGCATGTTTTATAGGAAATTTGGAAATTCTAAGTGTGTAGATTAAAAAAAAAAAATCCCAAAACATGGCTGATACTTACCTTCTCATGTCCTTATAAAGTGGGGGCTTACCATCAGAGTTAATTTGATTTAAAAACATGAATAATGTAATAATTCTTAAGGAATTATGAATAAAGTTTATATTTCTCATTTCAAAGATAGTCATTAGTACTAAAGACATTGCTAAATGCTTTCTTGGGTCATTAGTATTATATGGTCAATCATCTCTGGCCTGATGTTTAACTCATGACAATTAAAAACATCATACGGTTTCTAACCATAAATGTTATCAGTCCATACCAGAAGATAAAATTAGGAGCCTATACAATGCCCATAGTAGGATTTTATGGCATTACAAGTGTTGATACCAACACCTGAATTCAGTGGTGTCCAAACATGGAATGGTTTCATTATCTTTAAAAACCACCTTTTTGGGGCAGCCCGGGTGGCTCAGCGGTTTGGCCCCATCTTCAGTATAGGGCGTGATCCTGGGGACCCAAGATGGAGTCCCGCATCAGGCTCCCTGCATGGAGCCTGCTTCTGTCTCTGTCTTCTCTCTGTGTGTCTCTCATGAATAAATAAATCTTAAAAAAAAAAAAAAAAACACCCTTTTGAATCTCCTTTTCCTACCTCTTAAAAAAAATCTGAGCCAGAGTCTCCAAGTTTCAAACTTGCCCAAATTTAAGACTTCAATGAACACTCCTCTCTCCTAACTAAGGCTGCTTATACTTTCTCCTTCCCTTTTCTAGTTCTAGCTTTTGCTTAGTTGAAGCAGAAAGTAGAGCTTGGAGATCAATGCCTAAAACATTGTTACCTACCCCAGGCAACTGCAGTTTACTCTCAGCAGAAAACATACTCTGTGGCAGGCACTGAACCACTTGCTTTATTAAGGGGAGGGAGCACAGGTGAAATCTATTGGTGTCTCTTTGAGGCTACCTCCCCACTGCATAGCCTTCTGATGTGAAACATCAGCTCTGACTCACAGCTTTCAAACTCTGCCTCAAATGCCATCAACCGCAATCAGGTACAGTGGTTCCTTTGCATCAGCAGCCCCATGTAAAATTCCACCTCCTTGTGCCTTAAACAATGCATGCACAAACTCTCTTCCTTGCAGTTGCTCTCACTGCAGTTTGCCTCACCATTTACATAACTGTGAAGGAGATCTGCAAAGCTGCCATAGGACCAGTCATCTAGCCAGGATTGAGATACCAATGCCATCCTCTTCCAGGCACCCTCAATTCCTGTGAGGCATTTTCTTTACCACCACTTTCTCAGTTTGTGATGGGACTGCTATCAGGAGTGAAAAGCAGAGTATCAGTATTATTTGTATCAGTGATTAGAATCAGAATCAGTATCATATCAGAAAAGTAGTATTATCAGGCTTAGTACTCCTTGCCTGATCAAGAATTCAAAAACACATTGAATATCATTGAAGCCCAAAACTTTTGCTGATATCCACTGAGGGTGATGGTCAGAGTAGCAGAGCTAACTCAGCTGTCTCTTTTCATGGGATTTGTTTTCCCTTTTTATTGAGGTATAATTAGCATATAACATTATATTAGTTTCAGGTATACAACATAATAATTCAACGCTTGTATATATTCTGAAATGATCACCACAGGCTAGTTAACATTCATCACAGTTAAAATCACTTTTTTCTTGGGGCTCCTAGGTGGTTCAGCTGGCTAAGTGGCCGACTCTTGATTTCAGCTCAGGTCACCATCTCAGGGTTCTGGGAATCTAGTGCCCCACCCATTTGGTTGGGCTCTGTGCTCAGTGGGGAGTCTGCCTCAGGATTCTCTCTCTCCTATCATCCCTAGCCCTGCTTGCTCCTGCTCTCTCTCTAAAATAAATAAATAAATCTTTAAAAAAATTTTCTTGTGATAAGAACTTTTAAGATCTGCTCTTTAAGCAACTTTCAAATTTGCGATGCAGTATTATTAACTATAGTCACTGTGTTGTACATTACATCCCCATGACATTTATTTTAAAACCAGAAGTTTGTACCTTTTGACCTCCTTCATCTATTTTATGTGATTTCATGTAATTTAAAATTATTTTTTGTATCTTTAATTTTTTTTTTAGTCCATGCTATCTCTTAATAGAATACAAAGGACAGATCTCATATCTCTGTGTAGAATATAGAAGCATTCATTTGTTTTCCATTGTGGAGTTTCACCAAAAATTCCAAAATAGGAAAAGTCTTATTCACCCTCCTGTTACACACTGTTAACCAAAATTTGAGGAAGATAAAAAATTTTTTCAAGCTGCACTAATCCCAGAATTACTATTTTCCTTTATAAAACCAGAGAGATTTATAAAACAATTTCACTGCTACACTGAAAGAGACATTTCTAGAGGCCATTGGCAGTTAGGAGTCAGTTCGGTGAAGAGCTATACCTTCATCTTTTCCATTTTGTTCAAGTCTTTGTAAAAGCAAATGAAAATGATTATGTGACTATAGAATCAGCCTCTTCTTTGGGAGGAAAAACATGAAACCAAACTAGTAATTCTTCTTTGAGAAATCTTTGTATTCATTAGATCTGCAATAGTGTTGTTCTGGCTCTCGATTTGTATTCTTATTTCAGCAACCTCTCTTTTCACCTCTTTCTGTTCCTTAATCATCTTATCTTTGAGCCCTGCTTCCAATTAATTCCTATTTTCAGTAAGTTTCTCTAAATTGTAAATCAACAGGAATGTGCTATCTGGGCAACATTTTCTTTTAGACTGGGTCCTTTCTGTGTTTTGTATATTAGTTTCCTTCTCTCTTTCCTCTTGTTATATATGTAGAGATTTTTGTATGTTTGTTTTTGGTTGTTTGCCATAGTTAAAACCCTTTTTTTGTTTGTTTTATTTTGATTTTGCTTAATGTGAGAAGCTCTTTCCAGATCAGATTTGCTCTAACATTATGTGTGTGAAAACTGTCCTGATTTCTCTTCTACCAAATCTGGGATAGTATATTTTGCAGGCTCCATCCACTTCTCTACTGCCTAAAATCATGGAACTAGAGGAGGAGTTGTCTTGACCAGGACCAAGTGCAATCCCTGCTGGGAGACTGCAGGCTCTGATCACACTAATATCTAGTACCAGGGCTCAGTTAACCTACCCAAGGGTTTCTCCCTTTCCTGAGGTTCAGGCTTGTTACTCCAAGTCAGCACAACTTTCTCAATGGAGAGACCTACAGCTATCCCTGCCTCTGTAGATATACTAAAATGCTGTGTAAGGGCTTCTACTTTCAAGGATTTTTTTCTGCACTTCCCCTGGAGAGATCTTGAGAGTAACTATTTCAGATATGCCACCCCTAATACAGAACTGGTGCCGAACTTCTGGCCCTTCTCTATTGACAGTTGCAAAATCTTGACCTCCATTATACTTCATTCTCACCCTAGATTCCAGGACCAATTTTAGGAGAGTGGAGAAAGTAAAAGGATTCAAAAATACATTAAAAGCCTCTGCCAAGTGCTTTGTACATTAGCTAATTTGATTTTCACAATACTCCTTTTCTTTGTACTGAGAAAATGGGAAATTAAAGAAAGTTTTATAATTTGCCAGAATGAGAGAGGGAGAAATAGAATTTTATCCTTGGCCTAACCAACTTCAAAACCATGTTCTATTATACCCAATGGCATACTGATAAATGTTTAACAATGAATCAGAGGGTGGGGCAGGAGGTAGGGCCCTGATTTGTGACATTTGCAATTCCATGGTGTAAATACTCCCACTATGATCAACCACAGGCTAATTGTAACATAGACAAGACTGGCTGTAATATCATATTAACATCTATCTATTTTTAGCAATGAAATAATGTTGATAATATGAGCCAGTTCATATTATACACTAGCCTGACAGATTATCAGTATGTAATGTATACCAAAATACCAAGAAAAAGTTTGAGATGTGAAAACTTATACAGTAGGTTTTTTTTAGTGTTTAATCATAAAGGATTATAATATTCCAACAGGTTCTACTCCAATCATTCATAAATAACATTAATAAATAACAATGCTTTACAGGGCTCCTCTCTGAACCCTCTATGAAATGACAAACATGCTTGCTTGCAAACAACGAACACAATCTCTAAAAAAAAGTATATTCATAAGAATAGTTTGGACTGTCATAAACACATACATAAGTATAACTCACATTCCATAATAAAGATCTGATACCAAGATCCAAATGTATTATGGAATTGAGGCCTGAACAACATCCCTCCTAAAAGCCCTAGACATCTTTCCTCCATTGCATATTGTCATGATACCCCAAGTTGGTGGCACCATTAAGCACCCCAGATAGTACCAGCTAATGAATGTCACCCCATAGTCACTCCACAACCATTCTCACATGTGCAGGAAGTTGTCAGCAGAGACTCAGAC